CACTGCGAAGCGCTCTTAGCACCAGTTTAATTCCGGAGTTTGCCTTTAACTGGACACATGGCTGGAAATAAAGTTCGATAGGAATACCCTTATGTGGAAAGTTTGCTCTGGACTGCAAATGCAATGAGATCCAGTGCATTGAATCCAACTTTTACATCAAGCACCTCACTTCAAGCATTAGATCCTTTTCACCCACTGCTCTTCACTGGCCGCCTTCTGCTTTCACAATCCTTTTCAAATTTATCCATTTCTGCAGAACCTCGTCCTTTTGATGAACTTCTGTTTTGGATTCAAAGGAAATACATTCAATAACCTCGACTTCCAGATCAGTCCTTGCCTCTCACTGAAAACTACAGCATGCCGATCGGAGAATAACGGAAAGAGTTATGAGCCATCGTATTATGGGCTATGTCAGGCGCCTTTCCTGTATACGAGTCATATGTAAGTTGAAATTTTGAGGGTGTAAGATTTGTTAAGAAAAAATCTCTGAACATTTCAGTCTAAGTGCTTGGAGGAATGCGCGTCAATGGTTTCATATTGCGTCGGCACGTCGCCCTTGATCGTCTGCCAGCTGAACATTATAGTATTTCTAACTTGCATACTGCTTGCCGTTTTTACAGGTACTACCTTTGTGGCTACCAGTTCAAGTCTTTACTCTTCACACTCTATGTCATAGAGGTAGAAAAAAGAACCACTTTAAGGCGTCGCAATACCAATGACATGCCTTCTATGTTATGTGACCAGTTGGTGCTCCGACGTGAAACGAACATGGCGACGTCTACAAGCGTCCGACGAAGAAATAGTCAACCTGAATCCACGAAGTGTACAAGGTGATTAAGTAGGTCCAGAAAAATTGTGTTGTGAAGGAAGAATCATGATTTTGGCGTCACCGAAACAGGGTCAACCATTACGTAAAAGGTTGATGGTGTCGATAGTGTCGCTAGGGCAAATCGCGACTTTCGCACTTTGGTCCGAATCCCTGAGATTCGTCCACCCCCATCCCTCCATTCCCTACCAATGACGCTGTCGCCGCGATTTTGGCAAGCGTCTTCGGGATTGCGGTCACCCTCCCCCAGTCCATGACCAAAGCGCGATCCTTCTGTTCAAATAGTGCGAACGGACGGTTGACCCTATCGCAGACCATGCTATCACTTACCACACCCCATCCCACCAAATCTCCTCCAAAAGTGGAATGGAACGGGAATCTGCCTGATGGAGGCATCCGAACTATCATTCAGTCTATGTGAAGAACTGAATAATTTCAGGCATGCCTTTATAACGACAATGCGAGTAACTTAACACATTCACGACGACGCCCCTTTTCCACTTTTCGGTCGCGTGGGACGGACGCGATTTTGTGGGCGCCGCCGCCTCACCACATAACCGCAGATTTTGTACTGTAAATGAACAAAAACATGAATGTCACAAAATAATTTCTGCAATGTCCAATGCGTAAAGATCATCTGAA